GGTCCACGCTGACCACGTGCTCTTCTCTGCCAGGGAACAGAGAGTGACGGGCACCATCGTCTTCATCCTGACAGGGATCTCCGTCTTCCTGGCTCCCATCCTGAAGGTGAGACTCTGCACCTGAGGAAGCACTGGCCTGGTGCCTCGCAGGCGGGAAGAGGGCTCCCGTGTGTCCCCTAAGAAGGCAGGGGATCCTATTGGGCCAGGGAGATGTCTGGCCACCGTTGCTGTTTTCTGTGATACTGTGTCTTTCACTGAAAGCACCGGGCAGTCCTCCCTGCTCTTCCCCAGCCCTCCCAGGGGGCCACCCTCACCTTCCTGGAGGTCACTCTTTTCTCAGGAAGCTCCATCGAGCTCCATCCTTGCTTCGATCAGGAGCTTCCCAAGCTGGCTGTGTTTCCATGCTGTGGTTGAGGGCTTGCTAGGGGCCTCCTTGCTCACCTATTTCTCTGAAATTTAAAACTTACAGGAGGAGGCTTCTGTCACTATTCTTGGGGCCTGTTTTCTGCCCCTCCATCTTGCACGACTTGGGCACGTGAGTGACTTTTCTCACTGTTTAAAGCTCCTCTTGCTCCTGTGCCTGCAGATCAGCTGGAAGAGATGGGCTCACATGGGGGTGCATTTGGAGCCTGCATCCCCCAGAACAGCCTCTCCACTCCAGACACTCATCTGCTCTGGGGGCCAGAACACAATACCACCAACTGAGAGGCGTAAACAATGGACATTTATTTCCGCTCAGTTCTAGGGGTAGATCTTGCTGTGGGCAAGTTCGGTTTCTTCTGAGGCCTCTCTCCCGGGCTCGTGAGTGGCACTCCTCCTCACATGGTCTTTCCTGTGTGTATGCACAGGTCTGCGCCCCAACCCTCTGCTGTTAAAAGAACACCGGTCATATTGAATTAGGCTTCACCCATATGACCTCTTTTTACCTTTATTACCTCTTTAAAAGACCTATATCCAAATTCAGTCACATTGTAATGGACTTTAACATAGGGATTTTGCGGGGACAGGGCGGGTGGATGGGATGGGGACCAATTCAGTGGTCCTTCCCTTAATGCCTGTGAAAGACTTTCCTTTCTTGAATGAAGCTTACTTGTAG